CACCGGGCACCGGGCACGGGCACCGGACACGGGACACGGGCACCGGACACCGGGCAATGTCAGCCCCGCCAGGGCCGAGGGTCACTGAGCAGCGGGCCGCTCCCTGCCGGTAGCCAGGTGCCAGCCGTGCGGGGAGCGAGGGTGCCCGCGGCCCCGGGCAGCGCGGGGCTCCGGCACAGCTGCGGGGGAGAGCTCAGGCAGCGCCCGGTGCTGCTCCGCTCTGTGCTCCATGAAACCCTTCCCAGAGCAGCTTCTCGAGACAGTGCTTCAGCCAGGTACATTTTGCTGCAAGGTCGAAACAAGTTTGGGGTTTTTTTCTTGCTTTCCATTCACTTCCACAATTCCACTGTTTATGCTTATTTTCAGCAAGGTTATGTGGAATTGCTGTTTTAACCACCAGTTAAACCTGATTTGGCTTCTATGTTAAGAAAGTCTTCACAACAGCCATGCTCAGAGGATAAAACAGCAAGAGACTTAGACCTGCACGCCCCTTCTCCCACACTCCCTCAGAAAGTAGTGCCTGGATTCTCTTCCGGATTTACAACTGCTATTATGATAAAAAAAATAAATAGCAAAGGCATGTACTAAAAACATATTTCCACTTTTTTCCCAGCTTTGTAGTAATTTTTGCTTTGTGATTCCTTTGGTTTCGACAAGAAAAATAATTGTACACCCTTTTAACCTTAATATCAGAAAACAAGCCAAAGTGGAGGGCTTATTTCTGTTTGATCTAATATGTAACAAGTGATTTAAGCAGATGCTATCCTTCTTTTACAATCGAAGATCAGACCTCTGATCAGTGTCATTATCAGAAACCTAACAAATGCCACAAAGAAACCTACGTGGCTGTATATACTATGTGTGTGCTTTCCTGTGCATACATTTAGAGACCTATGTTTTAGTCGTAAGGTTAAAATAGTTTTGCCAAAATAATAATTTTCTTTTTTTTTCTGCAAGAACATGAGTAGTGAGGAGTTACTTGGTTTCTCTTTCCTCAGTGAGGTACTGTGTTTTTAAACCCTCAGTAATTCTAGCTATCTTTCCTGTTACCACACCACCTCTCTCTGCATTTTTTTTTTTCAGAAAAACAGAAAACATTTTGTATTGCTGTTTTGCATCACAATATGAGCATTTCCTACCTGTTTGTGTGCAGCTGCAGTGCTAAGGTAGTTGTAAGAAGTATTCTCATCCCTCCATACATGGGACCCAGGATGTGTGTGTGTATATACATGTATATATTTATATATACACTGCAGGATGGCAGCCTCTTGGAGACTCCCTGGATTGTGTGATGTGCTGGAGCAAACTGAAGAGCTGTTTGGACCGTAGTTGTGAGTGGGGCATTGAGCCAAATTACAGAATATTCCAAGCTGGAAGGGACCAAAAAAGAATCAAGTCCAACTTGTAAGCAAATGGCCCATGCAGGGTATGAACTCACAACCTTGATGTTCTTAGTACCAGGCTCTGCCAACTGAGCTAAGCTCAGAGCCTAATCTTTGTCAGGATAAGTATCAAATAATCTGAAAGTATCAAACAGTCTCTACTAAAGTAATTCTGTCTAAGTTCTTGCCCAGTACATAGGTGATCTCTCTTACACATTGCACAAGCAATAAATTGATTTTCTTCCACCAACAGGCCTGAAACTGAGTTATTCCCCAAAGAAAGGACTCATTAACCTGGACACAATATGCGCATGGGAAGCAGCTGCATTGTCAAGAGCTTTCTGTTTTTAAAAAAATGTAAATTTCCTTCACGGATGTGAAGGGGTTTTTTTATTATTTATATTGCTAAGGTAGTTTTTCCTTACACTGGGCTGTCTTTTTCTCCCCAATATCTCTTTCTCTTTTGTTGTTATCATAAGGAAAATTAGTCTAGTCAGATGTGCAAGTTTGGCATGGGTCAGAGGACCATGGTTACCACACAGAGGTCCTCTGTGCAGAGGCTTGTATTCTGAAGGTGGCTGCTAAGAACCCTGCAAATCCACAAATACCTGAGCCAAAAAGAATAAGCAGCTTGTGATAGGCCAATAGAAGGGGATCTTGTCCTCTCAGTAGCACTATCCTGTAAGCATAATTCTGATTTCTTCCTCCTAATGTAATGACAGTGATTTCATATAAAACACTACTGATTTACAGAGAAGGAAAAATACAATCAAGTTTGCATATGGGCCATGTCTATTGTGACTTAGGGATTTTTCACATCCCAGCAACCTTACTTCCTCATTTCTTTTCTCTTGGCCTCCATCTCACAATCATCAATTCTTTCCTCATAAATTCGACCAGACTAATTCTGCTTATGATAATAATTACCTAATAGGTTTCTAGAAGAAATGGCTTAGTAGTTTGTTCCAAAATTCTCAAAGAAACTAAGGAAATGAAAATTATCGTGTCTTAAATTATCAAGCTAAGAACCCACAATAGAAGAATAATTTACCAATATTGAAAGAATAGGCAATTTACTTTGACAACTTATTTCAAGCAATTTGAATGTGCAGGAAGCAAGATACATAGTAATTATTGTGTATGAAATTTAGAAAAGGATATTCTCAGTATCTTTTTTCTCTGAGAAAAATCATTGGCATTTTAAAGTGAGTTTATTCTTGGCAGTCCAAATTTATCAGTGCTCAAAACTCACATTTCCATAGATTAGACAGAAGCTTAAACATTCTCAGTATTTAGGAATTGTATATGGGGGATCCCTTGGGATTTACTCACGCTATAAAGCACATTGTGATCACATTTTGTGAGTTCTCTGTTCACTAAAGCCCCTCCAGCCTGTTCACTGCTGCTCTGTGTGTTGGTCCTAAGGGATGTAAACTCAAATAAAGGGTAGTCTTGAAATATAAAGGTATTTTTAGCTTAGAGGAGAAATAAAACTGTATATGTAAGGGCCAAATTCACTGGTGGTGTAAGGACATCCACAATCATTTACTTCAGTGGATTTGTGCCTACGTCTGCAAGTGGATTGGTGTGTTTGGCTCTAAATATGTAAAACAAATAATGAAAAATCTTTATACAATAATGCTTGTGTGAGAGCCAGACATACAGGTGGGCTCTAATTTGCATTCTCCCTTCCATGGGGTTTTGTACAATTCCCAAAATATGGATATTCTCAGCTCAACAAATGCTGTCCTTCCCAGGAGATTTATCTTTCCTAAGTATATATAGCAATAAATACTTCAACCAGTTAAGTTTCAGAAAAAGTGCTCTAACCATTACCCTACTTACCATTTAAAATCCCAAGTATATTGATTCAGGTTACTTTCCCAAATAAATATGGATTAATATGCTAATATAAAAAAATGAGGATATTTGCCTTCAAAGTGATACAATGCCTGATTGTAATTGAAAATCTTATATATACAGAATAAGCTACGGAGTAAAGAATGAATATGCAACCATGTAGACAAGAGTGCAAATAATATAAAGAAGAAAGTAGGTACTGTTGTATACAGTAGACATGAGTTAAGTAAAGACATGCTTTTAAAACAATGCAAGAATCTTCTTTTCTTGAATTAAGTTTTTCTGAAATCCTTCTTGTTCTTATGCCAGGAAAGCAGGTTACTCTTCTGATCAGGAATATCTCATATTTCAATTCTCAATATCTCAATTTCAATATAATCGCTTCTGATTCTGATTTGGTCTTAAATTTCTCCTTTCTTGGCATCGGGGCAATATCCATTAATCTTATAATCCTTGGAGATGACATTTTTTTTGTAAATATGACGTGGTTGACATTCTTTTTGTCTGCTGTATGTCATTACATTTTGACCCTTCTGGAGGACGATGGCTGTGCTGCAGGCAGTGGGGAAGCCATCTCCTCCGTCTTGTCCTGGCTACCACAGGGGGCAGGGGATTTCCTGGAGGGAGAGAGGATGTGCCTCCCTGGAGGGCAGCTGGCACTGTCTAGGAAAACTTCTGTAACGAAGGGATGGCTGGGGAGGAAAACCCAGCCAACAGGGCTTGATCAGCGGGGAGACTGAGAAAGGCAGGGAGAGAGTCAGAGTCTGACAAAAGGAGACTTTTCCTGCTCGAACTCTGTAACGTTGTAGCTGAAAACTTTCTGGCCTGAGTCCAAGTCTGGAGGAAAGGCAGTGTGCCAAAGGCCATGGAATGCTCAGGAGGATGCCCCTCTTTGGGGAGGAGCTTTTTTTCCCTCTTTTAGCCAGGATGGCTGACTCCTGCACGTCTCATGTCCTAGGCTGGGGACCCTGCACCTTGCGGGGCTCTTGACACACTCCTGGTGCTTTCTGGGATGCTGCCTTCAATAATGAGCCCATGCAATTCTGTGTCAGAACTCAAGCTCATTCAAGGGCTTGTCACAAATGGTAAAGGTGTTCATTGCATTGTGAATGAAGGGTTGATGAGGTTACTGAGGTGTGACTAAACTACTTCTTGATTATCAAGTATTTGTGAAAGGACTTGTTTAACTTTTTTTGTAATTGGGAAGGATTTTTCAACCAGCTTATAAAACTATTTTGTATTGATTTGCCATAAACCCCTTGGTTCAGCTGTAAACTACTCTCTGACCATAAATTGTCTGTAAATCTGTTAGTACAGCATGATAGGTTTCTTAATTCATTTACTGAGTTTTCTTTTCTATTTTTCTTAATAAGTGAGAATGTATCTGTCTGTGTCCAGATCCCTGTGCATACAGGTGGTGCCTCAATAGACATCCTTTCATTCAGTCAACTATTAGTAATTTCTTCAATTTATACTCACTTTGAGATCTTTTTACTTGGGCTTACATTTGCTGAAATGAGGCTTTGACCACAAGCACTTTTGCATATACCATCAATAAAAGAAGGCACAATGATTAAATCAAACGAACATCTGAGAATTCTTATGTGCTTTGCTTCCTCAGATTTGACCAGATTTTGGCTCTGTTTAAGTGCAAGAACATGTTCACATGACTGCCATGAGGCCAGTTTGCCTGTTACACCGCTGGTGAATGGCACTTGCTTTAGCATTTCATGTCAACAAAATTGGCAAGCCATTTGCAATCAATGGTAAGCAATTTGACACAACTTCTAATTGAGTAATATACTAGCTGCATTATAGGAAAAGAGATTTTTAGATTTATTCTTGTAATTATACTTCCAATATTTCCTTATCATGTTATTTTATGCTCTCCAATATAATAGTTATCTGTGACTATGTAGAGACTTCTACACCAATTAAAGTCAATATCAGTGAATGAGACACAGACAGTACATCTATCCATCCTCAGTTCTCAGAATGTCTTGAAAATAATTATTCCTCTTTTTTTCCTTACAAAAAAATTGAGAACAGTAGTACTTTTTATTTTTTTCAGAAACATGGTTTTGGATGTTTCAATCCGTGCCTTTCTGTACTCTTGAGCAGATGCTTCTGTGTATCTTGAGACCTACCAAAACTGGTATGTCTCTCTCCTCTCTCCCTTTTGGTCCATTCCAGGTCATTACTTCTCTGGGAGTGGAATCCCTTAATCCACCAGCTCTCAGGTCAAGCCCTATGTTGTAATCCCATGAGTACCAACCAGTAACTCCTTTTACAGGTCCAGGCATGGGCCCTCCTTTATCTTTTGAAGCCTGGAAGAGTAGCTCTCATTAAAAGGACCCCCAAGCAACTTCTCAGCATACCAAAGAAAAAGCAGGGGGTCTACACCCACATTCACATACCAAAGTTTCCCTGTCTATCCACAGCTCAGTCGGCACCACCTTGTTGTTCACATCTGAGCCAGGAGGAGCAACTTGCTTTTCTTTACAGGCTGTTCTAACTACTTCTAAATTTTCCAGGCTGACAGTTTTTTCCCACTCTGGATTGTCTTTTCTACTTCACCCCAAAATGCTTCCTGTCTGTAGGACAGGATCTTTTAACAGATCAGTGTTTTCTGATCTTCATCTTCTCAGGCTTAACACAGGCAGTCCCTCTTTCTGGCTATAAATCCTGAGCCAGTGTTTTGAGGGATATTCCTTATCTGGGCCATTCTTTAATCTTTCCTTCCCTGTTCGTTACAAATCTTTTGCAGATTCCTTTGATTGAACACTGACCATTCATGTTAAACAGCAACAGAAAACTGAACAGGAAAAAGCCACTTTTAATATTCATAGGAGGATACAAGTATGTTTTTCCAGTTTGTCAACTGTTTCCTTCAAAAGTGGCCAACTTGCTAGTGTTTGGTGCAACAGACGTGTGTTTTTTTGCTTTATACTCTGTTTCAGATGTATTTTCATATGTCACACATAAAACAGTGGTAATCTGGGCATACTTATTATCTGTTTGATTACCTGAAGCCTCAGGTTCAGCAGGAGAGCTGCACCTATTCCTCAGAAATGTGCACTCTAACAGTGTGGATATGCAGATGAATAAATGCAGAGCAGAATGCTGGGAACAAACTTAGTTCAGGACTATCAGTTGAATAGCTGCTTACTGCTGAGATATCAGGAGATATCCCATCAGGAGATGAAATTCGCTGCAAAAGATATTAGAGGCTTGTATAAAATCTTAAAGGTGATAATTAAAAAAAGGTAGTGGAAAAAATGGTAGTGGGAGTAGTTGGTAATGTATGTACAATTTAGGAGTGATAAAATACTCCTAGCTTGACTGGGCACTGATGCTGATGCTTTTGCCCAAGGTTTGTTTAAGTCTTTGTATTTATGTCTCTTGTTGATGCCAGTCTGCTCTCCCTTTTGTATAAACTCCTGAAGGTCAACATTTTTGGTGTCTTCTCATTGACTGCCTTCCCTTCCCTGTGTTTTCTTCTTTATAGTGTTTGGTTGAAACCCATGGAGCACCTGCACCTTGAAAATTAAGGAATTCTTATGTGTGGCTCAATTCAAACACTGCTGGTGCTGCCCTTGGATCACGCTCTGGGGAGAGTCTGTCACTTGGCCACAGCATTGTTGTACTCTGTCTCCTTTTGAAAGCTGGGGAACATCTTGCACTGCAGAACTAGCTGGGGTGACTGGTACTGTTACAGATGATGCTGCTCTAATTACTGCTAAAGCCAGCCCAGGTTTTTTGTAAGTGGACACAACATACTTCAGGGATTAGCCTTGACCAAGGCCAGACAGAGTGACACCTCTGGGCCTTCAGTAAATGCAAGAAGGCAAGCAAACAGGACTGCACCTGGCAGAGGTCTCCACACTCCCAAAACTAGTATTTGTCCCCTTTATATTAACACCACTCCCCACCCTTCCCTGCTCCAAATCAGAGTAGAACATGGCTCAAAATGCTAAGTCTTATTTCAAATGGCTTGGAAGTTACAAGTGGGTATTTGCCTTTCCTTGTGGGGTATTTTGCTTTGGGTTTCAGGTTTTTTTGGGGTTTTGTTTATTGATTTTTTTGGGTTTGTTTCTTTGGTTTTGGGATTTTTGTTTGTTTGTCTGTTTGTTTGTTTGGATGCTTTCTTTAAAGGAAGGTGGATGAGGGGATTTAAAAATAAAATCTCCTTTAATTTACTTTTATTACCGGACTTACACTGTCATGCAGCTTCACTCTGATAGTTTTTCTTTCCTTTTCCCCATTACAATAGCTTGGCAACTGCAGTGAAATGAACCTAAAGTGACAGCTTGAGACAAGGAGGAAAACTAATATACACTGTGGAGAGTGGGGACCAGCCAAGCGGATGACGTCACTTGGAGGGGCACTATCTGAGTGTCAGAGCTGTCACAATTCATTCCCCACATATCAAATCTGCACTGCTTTTGTGTAGAGAAGAAGCTTGTTACCTTAGGTACTTGAATCAAATATCCCTTTTATTTGTTTGTATTTACTCAAGTGTGTTCTGAGGAGACTAAAATCAGCTGTGTCTGTAGACACCAGTCATCAACTAGGTTGTGTGTGCTGGGTGGTGTGACCCAGTAATATCAGTGGCTGTCAAATATTTGATCTTCTAATATGCACTCTTTTTTGCCTCTCCTGGACTGCTAGTCTTTTTGAGCATCCACTCTACTTGTCATGTGAAATAAGAGTACAAAGCCTGTGCCATGTATACAACAGTCTTTGGTAGTCAGCCACGTCTTCTCCTTTAGGCTATTGTCTTTTCAGCCTAACTGAAGCCCCCTGCTACTATGTGCACGAGCAGTAGAAACCCTGCTTCTTCCTTTTTTCTCTTCTGCCTATTTTCCTCTTTTGTTGAGTTCAGACAGAACTCAGTGTTAGATGAGTGATAACATGTAGTGAAATGCTGTTAAATATATGGGATTCCAAACATTAAAATAACTCTCCTTTCTTGAATTATCTTTCATCACAGGTTGTCTGAAAGCCCAGAGAATTTAGCAATACAATGTCTGGGCAGGATGCTTCTGTGCACTGAGATATAATAAGAACTCATTAGGGATGAGACGCTAAAAGGACAAGATGGGGGCTGTGGCATCACAACTATGTTGAAAGCTCATACAGGGAGTATTGGAAAGTATCACAGAGGTAATTTCACAGTTACCACTCTCACTCATTGCTGTCCCTTTGAGCTGATGCAGGTGTCCACACTCAGTACTATGCACAAGGGCACAGCTGTGTTGGTGTCCTCAAAATTGCCAGGTATTGTGTAGCATCATGAACCTGGGTTATGTGTCTTGTCCTGTTTCCCTTTTTCTAATACCTTTGTGTGATCTTTTCTGGAGTTGTGAGCAATCCAGAGTCAGTGATTAGTCAGAGGTGGTCCCAGTTGCTTGCAGGGGAAAAGCTGGACCTCCTTACTTTAACAGTTAATCTAAAGAAGGCTCTGCCCCTCTCTTCTGACCCAGTTCCTTGTTTGCCCACATGAAACCAGGGAAGCCCAGCTGTAGTCATGAGCCAGAGCTTTTGGAGAGTAGGCACTAATTATTCCTGTGCCTTAAATGTTCTTGTTCTGAAAAAAGAACTGTCTGTGGGGCAGATACTCTTTTAAGTCATCTGGCACTAGCTAAGGGTGAGCCACTGTATTTCTGCTACACGCAGCCATGTTTATCAGGACAGAGTCTTGATGTGTAAATGGAGCACAGCCTGACTTCTTATGTGGGAGTCTGGCACTCTATTGCCTTGTAGCTGTTTTACACAGTGCCTACTTGCTTGTTAGCAGAGAACAGCTCTATCATATACTCAGGTATCTCACAACTATAATGCTTTTTTACAAATATTAATGTATTTCTTTGCCAGATTTACCCAAGGGTACCCTATTCCCTACTCATATATGCAAGACATTTGTCCTCTTCACAGTTATGTAAATTTCCAAGTAAACTGGGAGATGTTTTATTGCAAGAATAATAAGATATCAAAAAAGAACCAGAATTGTGCCCAGGCCTGTCCTGGCTTCCACAGTGCAGTGAAGGCTCCTGTAGTAATACCTCTAGGAAGGAACTCAAAAATTATAACAGCTGCTCTGCCTGTTTGTTTTACCAAGGAAAAAGGGAGGAAAGGAAAAGTAGAGGAGCAGTTCCCAATACAAACTAGTGTTGTTGATGGAGCAGAGGAAGGTTTCATTCAATCATTCACTCAATCATCCTCACAGCTGAGAGTCCTTCACTTCTGGTCAATGCTGCAAGCACTCTGATGCAGATTTTCCCTTGAAGTACCTTCCCTGAACGTCATTTTTAAACAACACTTTTCTAATTTCTCAATCAGTTTCAGTTCAACCAAATCCAAATATACTAGAATAAGCTTTTTTTAAACTTCATTAATGTGAAATGTGTTGACATTTTGAATTCAATCCTACTGTCATATTTAAGGAACATATGGAAAACAGTCTGTACAAATTAATCTAAGGAGCATTTTAATGTGGCTTTCCTTGAGTGAACTGGTTATATTATGGATAGATGTGTCCTAACTTGAGAAGTGTTGAAACTGCAGGCAAGTGCTTTCAGACAAATTGATGTCAAATAGCAGAATACAATAATGTATTCTGGATCTTGAGCAGAAAGGGGAATGTGACACTGTGATGGGTGCCTAACTAGTCTCTCATATACTTGTATGCTTTTGATGTTTATACTTACAAAGAAATAGCAAAATAAATAATGGTGCAATCCAGATCATTGGTATATATGGCCCAAAAGCATTGTCAAGATTTCACAGAAACATTAAGCAGAAGAAAGGAAGGAGTTTAATGGGAGAAGGTAAATGAAGGAATTGAGAGGTTTGCAAAGATAGCCCAACTCTAAAGAGGAATCATTCAAGAAAAAATGATGTGAAATAACTGCCTCACTTCAATATTCAACCTGGTTTTTCTAGTTTGTTGTTAAAGAAAACCATAGCAGTACTTCTTTATAAAGCTTTTAGGAGTATCCACTTTCTGTTCCTAGTTAGGTAAGAATGAAAAGAGCATCTCCCAAAAATCGATATTGATGTTTGCATTAATACTAGAACAGACTAGGACAAGAATTTGGAAGTTGTCTTTAAAGTTGTCAGGCCATGCAGGCAGTGTGGCTGTGTGTTTTATAAAGTCATGGCTCTGTTGCCTGCCTTAGTTCAGACTCTACGGATTAAATTAAAATGCTTTCTGTTACCAGGAACACTCTATGATTTATGCCCATGGATATGTAGAGCATGCCAACTCTGGAAGAATGAACAAATTAACAGACAGCCTGGAGCAACAAGTAACTTGAACTGTCTTGACAATAAAAAAATAAAACACCAAAAAATTATGAAGGAAAGTTAAAGTGCAATTCTTATCTATTGACTATGCCTGGGAAAGATAATACATTTATAAATTCTTAAATTCTAGGTGGAACTCTTAGAAAAATAGATAAGGAAAGCACACAGTATACAAATCCTGGGAATCCCAGAGGGTTAAGAAGGTAAGAAGTTACCATATATCCTACATTAAGCTACAAAGAACAGCTCACTGTGTATTGAGAGCTTATCATGTTGCTGTGAAAAGGGCATCATAGGAAACCAGCAACTGCAGAACTGCTCTCCTAAAGTTAATGGACTTGGGGGTTAAGGGGAAAGTATTTTTGTCTGCACAAAGCATCAAGGACATTTATTTTAATAAGTGGCAAATTTTGATTTTTTTCCCCCCAACGCTGGGCCCTGCACTCAGAAAAATTGTGCTTGTCAGTGCCCAGAAAACATGCTTTCCAGGAAAATAAGTGCTATCAGTTGGTGTAGTCTGGCTAAGTTGTGAGTCAAATAGCCCTGGAAAATGTACTTACTCTAGGTGCAGTTGAAGGCAAAATGCATGTGCATGAGAGAGGGAAAGAGAAAATTTTTCAGTTGAAGACTGAATAGCTGTATACAAACTGTGATTTCAATGGACTTTATTGTACTTTGATCATAGTTTTACATTTCAGATGGTGTCATGTTGAAAATAGTAACTGAATTTCATAGGCAAATGGCCCTCCTGAAGCAGGCCGTGATGGTAAAATGAAGGGGATGGATCTCTTTTTAGGATGCTAGGAAATCTATTTCAAGTTCTATCATTAGTTTATTTTATTTTCCTGCCCCCCATTTTTAATAAAATATTTAACCCAGCAGCTTTTTAGCTGTAAATTACTATTTGCTTCAGTTTTGGAAGAGTTTTATTTGCAAGTGTACATTCATATTTGAAAGTACCTTCCAGGCTGGGTGGTGGTGTTCCATTTTTTAAATTTATGTGGCACTTATTGAGTTGCTCTGTTTGGCCAGGTATAATTTTGCATGTATGCCGATGGATTCAGTGGCATTGTACAATAAACATTTTGAGTTTAAGCATAGGCAGTGTACTCTAGTTTGATAGTGGTTGAGAAACATGAATCACAATTTATTTAACAATGAACATGGAGAGTAACAGTGGAAATAATGGCAGTGCTGATCTAACCTGTACTCCTGATTACATACATACCCAGAGCATTCTTTGTTTCTTTCTTTTTCCTTTGCTAATCTAAACTATTTAACCTCCCTGCTACTTGGATACTTTCCTCTGCTTGAATGTTTGCCTCTTTGGTTCTGTGTTGTGGAAAAATCCCCCAATGCTCTCAGCTTGCAGGTTTTACTCAACATTTTTTAAACATACTATTACCCTCTCCCATCCTATAGAAAGGAAATCCCATGCACATTTGAAAAACTGCCATTCAGACTTCAAAAGTCTGCTTTAAAACTTTCCTTTGCAAAGCAGCCAGCAGAATGTAGACCTTTGGATCACTAAATGAACTGATGTCAGTGATGCTGCTGATGAACATTGTCATGTCATAATTCTCCATAAGTCTTTACCCTTACATTGCCTTTTGTTTAGTCCTCAGACTGAAGGACATTCAATCAGGAGCCATCGTTTTGATCTGGGTTTGTGCAACCCTTATCACAGTAAAATTCTTCTCTGCAAGAAACACTCCTAGGCTATATAATAATAAAAAGAAACTAAGAATTGTAAGCATAGCCTTACTGTGGGGCAAGCTGTCAGTTATTCCAATATTACATCTACTTTGTTTATGATGTGATCAGTAAAATGAAAGAAACTCCTAAATTTTGCTTGATGAAGAATAGAAAGACATCAGTCATCTTTTGCAGCATGTGTCTGCCAAGTCACCAGTTTCCTGCACTGTTTTTCTCCTGTAGAGTTAGGAGTCCAAATCAGTGCCACATATTCCTAAATAGGGACATCTGTAATGGGCTTCTTGTCCTTTACATGCCTCCTGCCCGATTCCATCATCACTCTTCTTCTTTCTGTGTTTTTAAATGATTGCATTTCTCATATTAGGCAAATCCTGTCCCTTACCTGGATGATGTCATTAATCTTCTTTTACACCATGATATATTACTAAGTGACATACTGCATTGTATATGTATTGTTACTCTACTCACACGCTAGTGAAGACATTGCTGGCATGTGGAATACAAACGTCAAGTCAGCTGTGAAAAAGTTCTTTTTAAAAATCATGGAAAGTATGTGTGCCAGCAGGACAGACTGCCCTTTTTACTGCAGATTAAGATATAAAGGGGTGAATTTTAAGAGAACCAGAAACACTTGCCAGAGCTATGCTGATAAAATTGTTTGTGTATGATGATTTATATTCCAGCCTGAGAAATCTCTATGGTAGGAATGTGACATTTTTGTCTCATTTTCAAGTACTAATTGTAAATTACAGGTTTATTAATTTCAAAAATTTGATTGTTTGTCCACCTTGGTATTAAACTGACAGTTCTAAAAGACCTGGTCTTGTTTATTGTTTAGAAACCATAAAAATATCTTGACTGGCTCTCCATGTGGCAAAACTCCTTTTCGTAACTACCAGAATGTTGCAAGCAAAAATAACAGCCATAATTTTGGGAACTAACTGGTATAAAGCATGAGAGATATTATAAAATATTCAGTTCAGTTGTTCAGTTGAATTTTGCAGGTTGCCAGACAGCTATTAGCATCTCCTGGATGAGCCATGCCATGTCATTCAAAAAAATGGGGAGCAGCACTCAATTTTTTTCATTCAGATAGCAAAAAAATTCATTAATTGAAATGCTCTTTGCAAGTGTGCAATCTGGCCTCCTAGCACTGGCTTGGAGACTGTATTCTAAACAGCTATGTCCAGCCAGCATAAAGCAGCATAATGTAGTCATCAATCCTCTTTCCAGTGGTGTTTTACACCACCTTTGGCCTCTCTGTCATGCTATATTTTTGCATAGGATTAAGGTATCCCTGAACCTTGGGGAACATCCATCCCATACCAGTCCTCTCTTGGAGCCTGTAATTTGAGAACTAGTAAAATGCTAATTAAGGAATTGAAGCATATAAATAGTTGGAAGAGAAGATGATAATGGGGACAGAATACTTTTATCTTTAGTTTTCCTCTATTGGATCATGCTTCACGAACTTTCAGCCCACAATTGGCTCAGTTTTTAGACCATTGCCTATGTTTGTCTTTGTTAGAGCCAAATGCTGGATTAAGAAACGTGAAGACAACTGAAATAGAAAGGTCCTACTCTGGAGGCTTTTTTTTTCGTTTGAGGGAGGAAAAGAAGTCAGTGCAGTGTAATGATGTTCTGGTGGACAGTAAGTGAAAATTTTGTCATTGCTTTGGTGAACAATAGAGTTGGTCTCATTCAAAATGTGTCTTTCACGTACTAAAATTCCATTTGTTAAAGCTCTCTGTCTTTCATTATTTCTTATTACCTATTACATTGTAAAATAATTTTTAATGTATTGTTTATTTTAATGAATATTTAAGCAGATTCTATAATTTTTTCATTAAAAAAATTTTAATGTAATTTCTGAATAATAAATTATAAACAACAGTCTTCACTGCGCTTAGAAAATGTTAAATGTAGTACTATTTGGAGACATTAAGCCATCAGTGCTATTTGAGATATTTTGAAATCATGACCCCTTTAGAAGACAGACAGCACTAAACATTCCTTCCATAGCAACTATATTCATAGCAGAAACGTACCAGAGTCAGTCAAACTTAACAGCCCATTGGGCTGATAGGCTATTGGGGTTTCCACTGTCAGATTTTTTCTGAAAATACTATACAGGATATGTGAGTTGCAATTTTTTTTTATTAGTGTGAGGTTTTTGATCAATACTACAGTTTCTGTGGAGAAGGACATGCAGATAGTGGTGCCAAATTTTACTTTAAAATGCTGCTATGTAAATTTCTTTTTTTTTTTCCTACAGAGGCTGACAAAAGACTTTTTTTTTTTTTTTAATTTCTTCTTTGCCTCAACTACCTGCTGTCAGTTAGGAAGTCCAGTGTTCTGTATTGATGTTTGAGACTCCTAGTTTGTCTTCTGTGCTGGGATCAGACTGGAATGCATAACATGTCAGCAAAGCAGTGTGGTTGGTGGCATCATGCATGACAGAGAAGACCTGATCCTGTGCAAGCATTCTCTGAAGTGGAACACCCAAAAGACAAAACTTGTTCATTTCTAAAATGTATTTTTTAATGTGTTTTGATAAATATTGCCATAAATTTGTATTTTCAGCCCATAGAAAGATCTGAAAAAAATAATATTCAAAACAGTTAATGAGAATACAGTTTTCTTCATTTCTCTGAAGCCTTTTTTGAGAAACATAAAACTCTCAAGGAGTCGCAGGAAAGTAAAATATAAAGGCTTCACATTTAAAATTCAGTTTTGTCTTTCCCTTTCAGTATTTTGAAAGGAGGAAAGAAAAACTCCCAAATTCTAATTTTCAAACTGTAAATCTGTTTTTACACAGCAAAGATGTGAAAGCTTTTGTTTACTGCATCCTTTTAGTCATGGCACTGCAGTAGAAATGAGCTTTTTATTCATGTTACTACAGCACGTAGTACCTGTCTTTAACTTGTGAAGGATACCATTGGTTTCAAGGTGCCACTGAGGCCACAGGTACATGAAAAAGTTAGTGTGAGATAAGCCAGAGTGCACATTTGCTTTGTCCTACTGTGTACATTGCCTCTCTGTGTACTCTTACTTCATTCTAACTGTGTGCTACTTCACTTCTAATAAGGGGCAAGATTTTCTGCTCCCTTATATATAAACATCTTAACGTCAGAGATATGTGCTTCCCTTGCCAGATTCCTCTCCTAATTGAAATCACTTACATGACCTTGTGTCTGGCTAGTAACTCACATCTAAAGCAGTACCTAGTGATGTACTGGTAACTGGTGAGATTAGCATGATATATTTTAGAAAATAATAAGTTCTATGACAACTGTTGCTGTCTGGTGCAGAATCTCCTGCTTTAGTAGGTTCACAAAAACTATAGCTTTTTTTTGTAAATAGATGCCTCTGAAGATTTATATGTCTTTATGTTAATTAATGACTTTTCCTCTTTCATTTAAGCTGCTGTTCTCAGATAAGTAACAGACTGAAACACCCTAAATGAAGGGTGCAAATCACAGAATTATTAATTAATATAACCAAAGATGAGGAAAAAGAGGCCCAAATACTGGCAGACCAGTCCTCCATTATAGAATTTTGAAGTGACAGTGAATACAAATTGGGAAATCAAACGCAAATTATGTAGACCCAACAGAGTCTAGGTCCATAATAGGGGAGTATAGGAATTTCATTTCCTTTTGGAGCTTAATGCAGTAAAATCCCCTACTGTTATATACAGGTAGCTTCGTGTACTACATGAAGTATTTTCTTTGAAGACATAAGCTGGTCATGATTTTAGTTAGGTTTGTGACCTCAAGGATGACTCTTACTGCTGGTAAGTTTGTTTGCTTAGGTTTTTGTTGTTATTTTGCACATTGCTATAGAGAAGTAGAAACTTTGCAAGAAGACTTAAACTGTCTTGCGTAATTTTTTACCTCTAAAGTATTGCTGTTCTAATTTCAAAAAGTTCTATTATCTCCTCATGCAGAAAAAATATTTTAACTTTCACTCTTCATTCTTTCAAAGGAATGGTTATGTCAAAGATAATAATTCTATTTCCTGCTAACACTAAGGTAAAGATTGGAACTTCTCATTAGATTTTATGCAGAATGTAAAGGTTTATACTTCAACACAGAGAGAGGGTATATCACCAGAATATCTCTTTCTTGCTCACTTAAGGGAAAGAAAACCTTCTCTTTTGTTTGTATTTTAGGATAGTCCTATTTTAAGAACTAGTCCATGGAGCAAGAGTTTAATGTTATTGCTTCAACTGTGATGCAAAGGGAAACTGGAACATGAAAATACGCACAAGCAAAGAAATACTATTCTGGCATTTGAGTGTTTTGGAGTTCATTTTCAACAAGAAACAAATAATTTTCCTTCCCTCAAAATCTTGTATAAAAGTAAGTAGTAATATAAACCATAAATATAAATATAAACCATAACTCAGATGGCAGGAAAAAGCCCAACTGTATTTCCTGCTTTGCTGGGGCCTGTGCCATAGCCTAATATTGAAAAAGCAAAACTGCCTCTGAAGTGAACCTCGAGAAGCAGTAGAGCAGAGCAGTGCTGTTACCTGGTGTACAACATGCCCATCTTTCTCCCCAGGCCCTCTTGGAGGTTTAGAGTGTGCAATAGAAGGGAGTTTTTTTCAGGGACTGGCTGTAAGATTTCAAATTATGTAATATACATGCTTGATTTGTGGAGATGAGATAAACATTTGTGACTGCAAACACTGGGTCTAGTGAAGGACTCCAGTGCTGTCCTATGAGCAGAGAGAGTACCACTCCTCTGAAAGGGGGTCTGAAGCAAAAAAGAATGTGTGAAACCATATCACTTGTAACAACCTACAAATCCCTTTTCACAAAAATCAGAAAATAACCCCACAAAATAGGCCTACTTCCCACTTTCCTTCCTTGAGGAGGAATTGGTAATTTTTTCAGTCTACACAGTGAGTAAGTGGCTGTTATTCCTGGTGCTGTCAGTCTGGAACCATTCTCTGTTTATCTGAAGACTCCAAATATATCTTTTGGAAAAGTTATGTCCATTGTCATTTCAGAGAGCCAAGTTACATGTACCAGTGATCCCAGAAACAAAACTGAATTGTCATTATATTTGGTCACCGACATCTGCACAATTCACATTACTAAAATTAGGCCAATATTTCATATTGTGCACCAAAATTACCCCTTTTACTTTTTAAATAAAAGAGTAGCTTAAAAAAAAATTTAATGCTCACCTGAAGATTGCAGTTCCCTGATGAAATTTCTCCAAATATGTATATAAAGAGTCTTCAGAGAGTAGAAAAGAGGTAAGAAACCCCTCTAGAGCAAACAATGAAGACTCTTCATTTCAGAAATTGTTTCTCTTCCCAAAGGCAATGGGGATTTGATGGACCTGGCAGACTTAATTCCCAAGCCAAATTCCTCTTACAGACAAAACCCTGCTGGCTAAGCCATTCTTTCATATTCAACGAGCTCCAACACAGCCTCTGATCCAAAGCTGGCAGTTTGACACAAGAAGAGAAGTGATTTCTCAGGTGAATATATTGAAAACCATGTCTCATCTCTAAACATCTAGAGTTTTTTTCTCACATGCTGAACAAGGGGAGTAACATGGGTCCCTGTGGTATCTTCTCTGTTCGAGGGAGCAATGACTCATCATTATCTTGTGAGTTTTCACAGAGAAAAGGAATGAAGCCACTCAAGAAGTATTCTCTGTTGCTGGTAACTACAAATATCTCAACAAAGTATGAGATTGAGATGTCTCAAAGGATAGTGGTTTAAAAAAAAAATCTGCATTCTAATTTCCTTTTGAACCATAGCAGGATTGCTGCATACCCTGGATGGTAACATTACTTGTCAGGCTGCCAGAAATGTAAAGCCTCTAAGTTGTTGGTGTGCCATAATTTTTTAGTGAGTTTTCTGGGAAAAAAAAATGGTTTATTACTTTGTAGCTAACAAGGAAATCATCACATACAGCTCTTTTTGTTTCTCAGCTCATTGTTTATCTGCACTGATAGAGAGAATTCCAGCAGAAGCCATGTACCTCATCAGCTTTTACTAAGCATCTGTTGGTACCTTGCTGATTTTAAGCTAATAACTGATACTATGGAATGGTGTCATGACAGAGCAGTTAAAATTCAGGCAAACTGCATTTGCCCTATGAGATACTATTTGTTTCTGTAAGAAAGCACAGTTTTGAGATTACATCTGAGCAATCTGATTTCAAATTCTTCATAGCAATCACAAACCAATTCAACTTTCAAATGGAGGCAAGTAGGATATATGAAGTTGTTATTTTTCACAAATTGTCCTGCCATTGGGATATTTCAGACATTAATATGGAGCCATGTTAATGGCTTAATGTTAATGTATACATACAACTTCTCCTTGGATGTATTCTAGGCATTCTCCAGCAATTAATGGCCTGTTGTATCCACATGGAGCTCCAGCACAGGGCACATGGACTCCTGCAGTGAGAGGGTCCATAGGTCCAGCCCTCTTCTATACTCAGCACTGATCATATACTCAGTGTTTTAACAAGTTCTGAATATGGCTTAGTAGTTCCTCATTACCATGCTTTCCATTCTGGATGTCTTTCTCAGCTTGGACTTTTCCTCTAACATCTTTCTTTATGGTTTGTTCTCTTCCCTATCTTTATAGCTATGTGCTTTATGTAAATCCACTTATGATATTGATTTTGCTTTCTTCTTTTCATCAGCCATTAGAAAATATTTTCTGGTGTTTTCAGAAGGCTTCCTCACGGCCTTCCTCCTTTCCTCATCTTAGTAAAATTAATGCTGAATTCCCTGAACCTATTCAAGTCTTCCTAAAACAGCTTTCCTGTCCCTCTATGTTGTGTATGATTGGCCATCACAGCCTGTACTTCTCATACTTTCAAATGATGAAATTATAATTTGATGAGGCATTAGTTCCAAGGAAATTGTGATATTGAATCTGTGTTTGTCCACCATGTATTTAACAGAACTAAACCAGTCACAGATTTTTAAATGTCACTTGGTCCTTCTTGAGTTTCTACTTGAGGTTGTTCTGCAGGCCTTTTGAGTGTATGTAGAGTTACTTAATATAGCCAGAGGTTTTAAACCAAACAAAAATGGAAATAAAAATGTCCCACAAAAATGGCAACTAAGAAATTGGAATACTTCTCAATTCTTTATGTCAGTAGTTTGCCTAAGAACTGAGTAAAGAGTTTCAAATTTAGTCCAGCATGATGAATTGGTCAAACATGCTGAGCTACCTGGTCTGATCTTAAAGCTCACCTTGATTGAGCTGGGGGTTGGACTAAGTCCTCCTGAGGTCTCTTCACATCTGAATTGCCTTATGATCTTTTTGTGAGTTAGTTGATGAGAATGAAAGATTGATTGAAATATGTGTGATACCTGGAATGTATTTTCTGGCCCATGTGCTTCTGTGATTGTTAAGAGGTACCAGGGCTCAGGAGGCAACTTTAAAGGGTGTTTTAGTGCAACTAACTCACTTGTGTCACCAATTTTCTGCTTAGTTCCATTTCTTGTTATCAATGTAAGAAACACTTAACAAATCACAGAACAGAACTTCTGATACATTTTTTTAGCAAAATATGGAAGTATGTTACTTTGAGTTACACTTTTTTTGAGCTATCATAGCATCACAATTATCTAGAGTTAGAAAATAATTTCCTGTCCTAATCATGATTTTCCCAACAAGGTCCTAATTTCACTCTGTAGAAGTACAAAAGCAATTGGGGAACCATTTTAAATTTTAATGAAGAGAAATATCCTTCTTTCTAGGAGTTGATCAGCTTCTCTATGTGGTAGTCAGCTAAGTGGGCAAAGTTCCATCTTCTATTACACTACTGTCATCCTCAAGTGGTTCATAGGCTTCAGCTGATCCCATGCAGCACAGTCACTCTAAGTTTCTCCAGGAATTTTCTACAGTTGATCTCCAGAGGTAGTTTACTATTGGCTCCAGTTTCTGTGGATGTCCTGTGGTTTAACACACTGACACCTTGCACTCAGTAAAATTACATTCCATGCACTTTCTTCCAGATTGATCAGTATAAAGCTTACACGAAGATCATGTATGACTACAGGACCTTGTACCTGGTGTTATGTGATTATGATCTTTACTACACAACCTGTATATCTGTTCTGGAGTGCTGGTTCATTGAAATGACTTCACAGTAAAATTATGCTTTTTTTGGTCAATGTTGTGTGCATAGTTCTTAGGCTGAAAATATGAAAGATGGTATAGTGAATAGCAATTGAGGCCTATTAAGTGAATAATTTTGATGCTTGTGCAGGGCATAATTAATTAATCTTACAGTTTTTGATAGCATCTATTTACTGTCACAAAAACAAGTTACTTGCTCATAAATGAGCACTTCATGACTTAGTAAAATTTAGTTTTGTCTGACACAGCAGGTACCATAAAACTTAAAGTCAGCACCATGCAACTGAATTGGGCACCTCTACATCTCTCTTCTTGTTGTTATAATTTCCTGAGGGAACACTTAATGGTAAAAAAAACCCTAATATGTCAAATGTGACATTAAATTGATTTGTCATGTCAAGCTCATTAAAACCAACTTCTCAACTACAATATTCAAGTAACTTTGCACAAGTTTTTATACCTAAATCATAATAATCCCAGGGACACTGGCAAGCTGTGGACTAGGTTACGTATTCATTGAGGCTGAGTTTCCTGTTCTGTGAAATTCAGCACAAGCAAAGATCAATCCTAAGAATTTACTTCAAACCTTTTCTGAAAACTAAAAAGATAAGAATCTTTCTAAAGTCCATAGAAGTGGACACTTACGTGATAAAAACTAATATCCAGTAAGCTTTGTCAAGGTCCAGCACATTAGTTGCTTCTGGAATCTGAGCATATCATTTGAAGAAACAGTAAATTTTCTGCATGTACATATTCCCTACCCATGACCACATAGAACTACTGGAAAAAATGTATCTGTTCTGTTTCAAAGCAGAGAGCTGTATCTGTTTCCTGATTTTATCCATAGTTGCATCCTAATACAAATATCTATTCTATTTTGATTTCATACCCCCAGGCAAATGCATTTAACTGCAGTGCACTGACTGAGAGCTCTGTTTCACATTCTGTACTAGGATATAAGGTTTTTAAGAATATACAAAGTGTTCACTTGTGGATTCAATCATGGTAGTGTGCCTGGGAGCAGCATTGCAGCCTCTCCAGAGCAAACTTAAATGATTTAGTGTAAAATTTAGACTATAGCATAAATGAAAACTAGGAGAAAAATGTCAATAAAATTGCAAGGGGGAAGTAAAGACTCTTCTAGCACCTTGAAACATTAGCAATTTTATTCAGAAGAAATTGCAGTATATGCACACTTCCGCTGCATGAAAGGTCATGAATCTGCCTTCTACACTCAGTTGAGCTATTATATTAAATAAGAAAATTCACCCTGGCTGTGGCCATACTTGTGTACATCCCTGTATGCTTCCCAAGGGAATACTGGAAGAGTGGATGGCTGTAATATATTCTCTCTCACCCATGTACCCTTGCTAATCACAGCCAGGCAAACAAACAAACAAAGTTGTATTCTTAAGTAATATCAGAAGAATTTTGAGAACATCAAAAATAATGCCAAACTCAGCTGAAGTTGCAATTACATGCTCCCTTCAACCAGGATGCCCCTATTTATGGGCAGTCATACTTGGAGAGGTATCCAGGCCCTAATACTCCAACTCAATGCACGTAATGTTTCTCTGGCACGCCTACGTTGATGCCCATCTGCTGGAGTGGCATTGTGCCACTTGCAAGGTAATAACGCAATTTCAGCTGAAGATTCTTGCCAAGCACAAACAGGTTTGTAAGCTGAGCCTCCAAAACACAGTGCTGTGAAAAATCCTTTCCTCCCAGATCCCTTTGGGAAAACACTCACCATGTTATTCCTATATGCATGGGTTTCAGTACTCAATGCCATGTCTCTTCGTATCAAGTATAGGCTACACACAATGGAATGCTATTGTTATCTCAAAATAGACAGCATTTGTTCTAGGCAGTTGGTGAGACTGAAGTTATACAATCCGAGCAGCAATTAAGATGAAATTAAAAGCAACAATAATAATAACAACAACAACAATACTGGTAGTAGTTTCAACTGCATTGCTAGATGCTATTGAAGACAGAGGAACTAAGGTATTAAAAACCTGATATTCATTACCCATTCTCAGTTGATCTTGTATCTATTGAATTTTCACTGTAATGAATCTTAAGTTGTAATAAGGAAAAATTCAGTAATTTCTGCAAAAGTAACAGGCTGAGGTTGAAAGGCATCTCTGGAGTCTGTCTAGTCCAACTCCTTTGCGCAAAGGTTGGTCATCTAGAGCCAGTTGCTAAGGGCTATCTCAAGCTGGGAGTCGAGCCTCTCTGAGGTTGGAAACTTCACAACCTCTTTGTACAACTTGCTTCAGACTGTCCTCACAGTAATAAGGTAGGTTTTTATGTTTAAATGAAATTTCCCGTATTTCAATTTGTGTCCATTGCCTCTTGTTGTTACACCAAATACTATTGGCCTAATTTACTTTTTCTCTCTCTTAAGGTACTTATATACATTGAGTCTTTGTCTCTCTCAGCCTCTTCTCATAAAGATGCTCCAATGCCTTAATCACCTTCTTGGCCTGTTGCTGGATGAAGCTCAGGAAGTCTGTATCTTTCTTTCTTTTCCATGTAGGAAAAAAATTAGAGAGGCCAAAGCTCGGTTTGAACTTAATTTGGCAACTTTTGTAAAGGATAATAAAAAATGTTTCTACAAATATATTAATGGCAAAAGGAAGGGCAAGACGAGCCTTTGTTCTCTGCTGGATGTGGGAGGGAACTTAGTAAGTGCAGATGAGGAGAAGGCAGAAGTGCTTAACACCTTCTTTGCCTCAGTCTTTCGTGGGAAGATAGCTTGTCCACAGGACAGCTATCCTCCTGGGTTGGTGGATGGTGTCAGGGAGCAGAACGGTCCCCCTGTTATCCAGGAGGAGGCAGTCAGAGAACTGCTGAGCCACTTGGATGTTCATAAATCTGTGGGACCAGATGGGATCCATCCCAGGGTGATGAGGGAACTGGCAGATGAGTTTGCAATGCTGCTCTCCATCATTTTCCAACAGTCATGGTTCACTGGTGAGGTTCCAGATGGCTGGAAGCTGGCCAGTGTGATGGCCATTCACAAAAAGGGTGGGAAGGAGGATCCTGGTAGCTATAGACCAGTTAGCCTGACCTCGTACCCGGTAAGGTAATGGAACAGTTTATACTGAGTGTCATCACGCTGCACTTACAGGATGCCCGGGGTATCAGACCCAGCCAGCAGGGGCTTAGGAGGGGCAGGTCGTGTTTGACCAACCTGATCTCCTTTTATGACCAAGTGACCCACATGGTGGATGCAGGAAAGGCTGTGGATGTTGTCTATTTGGATTTCAGCAAGGCCTTGGATACTGTCTGCCACAGCAAACTCCTGGACAAGCTGGAAGCCCACGGCTTGGACAGGAGCACTCTTTGCTGGGTTAAGAACTGGCTGGATGGTTGGGCCCAGGAAGTGGTGGTGAACAGTGTTGTATCCAGCTGGGGATCAGTCACCAGTGGTGTTCCTCAGGTGTCTGTGCTGGGGCCAGTTCTGTTCAATATTTTCATTGATGACATGGATTAGGGTATTGAGTCTTCCATTAGTAAATTTGCTGACAACACTAAGCTGGGAGCATGTGTTGATCTGTTGGAAGGTAGGAAGGCTCTGCAAAGAGACCTAGAATGGTTGGATGGATGGGCAGAGTCCAATAAGATGAAGTTTAATAAATCCAAGTGCCAAGTCCTGCATTTTGGCCACAATAACCCCATGCAATGCTATAGGCTGGGGATGCTGTGGCTGGACAGTGCCCAGGCAGAGAGGGACCTGGGGATGCTGGTCGACATCTGATTGAACTGTACTTGGCACTGGTGAGGCCACACCTTGAGTGCTGTGCCCAGTTCTGGGCCCCTCAGTTTAGGAAGGAAGTTGAGACACTTGAGCACGTCCAGAGTAGGGCAACAAGGCTGGTGAGGGGTTTGGAACACAAACCCTGTGAGAAATGACTGAAGGAGCTGAGGTTGTTTAGCCTGGCAAAAAGGAGACTCAGAGGTGACCTTATCTCTACAACTGCCAGAAAGGTGTTTGTAGTCAGGTGGGGGTTGGTCTCTTTCTCCAGGCAGCAACTGACATAACGAGAGGACACAGTGTCAAGCTGTGCCAAGGGAAATATAGTTTGGATATTAAGAAAAAGCTTTTCACAGAAAGAATAATAAATACTGGAATGGTCTGCCCAGGGAGGTGGTGGAGTCAACATCCCTGGATGTATTTAATAAAAGACTGGATGTGGCACTTGGTACCATGGTTTAGTTGAGGTGTTAGAGCTCAATGATCTTGAAGGTCTCCCATCCTAGTGATTCTGTGATTCTTGAGATGGAATGACCAGGAGGCCAGATGTTTCCCACCAGGGTTGTGCAAAGGTAAAGGGTCACCTCTCTCAACATGCTGGCAACACTGTTCCTAATGCAGCATAAGATACCACTGGTGTCCTTTGCCATGAAGGTACATTGCTGGCACATGTTCAATTTGTTGTTCATCAGAACCCCCAAGTCCTTTTTTGCTAAGCTGCATTGCAGCTGCTTGACCCTTAGCATGTGCCAGTGCACAAAATTCAGATGCAAGACTTTGCATTTTCTTTGTTGAACCTCTGTTCCTGTTGGTCCATTTCTCCAGCCTGTTGAGGTCTCGCTGAATGGCATCCCAACCATCTGGCATATCAGCAACTCCTAGTTTTTCATCCTCTGCAAACTTGAGGGTGTTGCTCTTCTGTCATCCACTTAGCTAGTCACTTCATCATAGAATGCTATCAAGTTTGTGAGGCATGATAACTCCTATGCAAATACATTCTGTTTATTCCAAATCACCTTATACTTAAAGTGCCTGGAAATGGCTTTGGGAATTGTATGCAACACTATTTTTCCAGGGACTGAGGTGCGACTGACTACTCTGTAGTTCTCAAAATCCTCCTTCCTGAGGGTATGTGACTTTTGCCTCCTTCTAATCCTCAGGAAGCTCCCTTTATCACCATGATCTTTCTAATATAATTGAAATTGGCCTCACAATGACATCAGCCAGCTCCTTTGGAACTTGTGTGGGCATTCTACCAGGTCCTATGGATTTAAGTATGTCCAGTATATTTAATGTTCTGCTTAAGATATTCTGCTATACAGAGTAAGTAGTTTTCTAAGGGTTCCCACTGGTTCTTACCTGCAGGAAGTATATTTGGCTGTGCTGCCTCACAGATCATCGTTCTTGGGCTGGAGCTTGCAGTAGGAGCCTGCAGTTCAACTTACTGGAAATATGATAGATTATGAAATAGTAAAATATTATCACAGTTCAAAAATATTATCAAGTCCAAGATTATGAGAGAAACTGCATTCTTACCTTCAGTTTTAGGGTATAACGTTTTTTCTAAGAATTTATTTTAAAATACTGTTCATGAGGTATCTTCTAAATCATGTCAAGCATTGGAACAGGAGGCTACAATGAAATGTGTTGTGCATCATAAAATGATGGGTTGAGAGGATGAACATTATTGTGTATTAATTTGTGATCAAGCTCGAGAATGTTATCCTGTCAATAAGTCGTCTCCAAAGCTAAGTTTTTGCAAGCTGGTACAAGACTTAAAAACTTATATTTTGCCTACTTTAAGTGAAAATTAAAAATAAATGTGTATTTAAACCTTGGTAGCCATGGAATGCGAAGAGGGTGGTATAACTTAATATTTGTGTATGCATCTTCCTCACTAAAATTCAAACCACCAAGCATTTAGGAGCTTGCATCCTTGACTTTTTCATAATAAAGATATTTCATGTTTTGAGAGAAGACACAGATATCCATATATTCCCTGCATAACTTTTAATTAAGTTTTTATCCTGCTTTGTTCTTTCAGATACTGACAAGCAAAAGCAAATTTCAACATTTTCTATAGTTTTGATATAGAAAACACTGTTGTTTTTTCATAGCTCCATCACAGAAAATCTAGAACAAAACCCCATACATGTTAAATTTAAAAAAAAAAAATCTGGACAGGAGAGTAACACAGGACTGAACTAGAGACTGAGCAGGGCTTGGGAGGAGGAGTCAGTCACCATATACAATAACTGGCTCTCCAGAGATGGAGAAGGCATGACCCCTGCATTCTTTGTGGGGAACTGGATATAGACCCTTGATCCAGTGACTATGAAAGCAAGCTATTGAACACATTTTCAATAATGATAACTTTAGCAAGTGAAAAAATGGTTTTCAAATAAGAAGTACAGAAAAAAATAACAAATTAATTTTCTCTATATGTAATAATAATATGTAATAATTGATGAATTTCCAAGACTTTCTTGCATATTACATTTATTTAAGTAAAGGTAAGAAGATGAATTTGCAGTAAATGATATACAAAGGATGGATTTTGACACACTTCTTGGACCTATAGACTTGGTCTAACCCAGCTGACAGCACACATTCCTTTGTCTAAGTTGAGTAAAAAGGTATTATTTGTATATTCTCTAGCCTATCTAGAAAAATAATTAGAAAGACGATTGTCATGAATTCTGATTAATTCAAACTGCCATGCCAAATCATTAACAGTGGCCAGCTTGGCAACAGTCCAAAATAAGAAATTCTGCGAAGTTCTTACTAGTATTTAAAATGGAGGAAAGGCATTAACAGAGGGAGGAAATTAGTCTGGGATAAAAGGAAGGGGGGGTGGTGGTGATGGAAAGGTTAAAAGAAAAGGAAAAATGTGATGGAAAATTATTTTGTTTAAAAGCTGGCATTTGGTATTTTCAAAGGGCAAAATGTATTTTTTGTTTTATGACAAATGAATGTAAAAATGTGGATGCCTTGTGGCCTAGAGGACAAAACAGTAGGATCAATGTTCTTTTTGTACTCTATGAAGCTTGAGATTAAAGTCCCCACTGATAAACTGAACATTCTTTAAAAGTGACCAGAAGCAAACAGTGTCTGTTTGCTGCTACTTTATTAGAAAGATACCACTGAGAATAGCTAAGAATACTATTTGATCTTAAACAGGTTGACCAAATTATTGCAGTTGGCTCCAGTACATGAGATGCCTTCTGCAAATTATTGTTTCTGGTTATAAACCTTTATAATATCTCAGAATGAATTATGTATGTATTTCATGTTTTCTTTTCTTTTATCAGCCTTGATGTTCTCATTTCAAGTTTCACCCTAGCCTCCTAATAATGCAATATTGAGGCCATTCAGACACTAATTATGCCTCCATGGCTTTCTTGAAATGACTAAATCAGCATCAGTTCTATAATTATCATGAGTAAGTTTGTATCTGTGCCTCACACCACATGAAAAGCACAACTTTAAATGATTTATGAATATATGCATCTGTAACATCGAATGTGCACTTTCTAATACTATACATACAAGAGGCATAGAGATACTTCAAACATATGTACACCTGTATGTATGTTCTCAGCTTCACTGAACTCTGCTGGCTATCTTATACAAACACAGCCTGACTGCAAAAATATTATTGCAATGTTGTTTTCTTAATAGATGTATGTGTGAGACACCATCAAAATGTGTATATTTAAGCATCCTGACTATTTAAATAGAACAAAATATAAGCAAGTGTTCATCAAGACTAGTGTTCAGACTTGATAATCTCCTAATTTTCTTTATGTTTATATAAAGTCTAGCAAGAATGACTGGCAGGTTACAGAAAGAAGTATACATATCCAAATGCAATTCCTTTATA